TTAAAAAGTGGGCAAAGGACATGAACAGAAACTTTTCAAAAGACAGACAGACTAAAGGCCAACAAACATGAAAAAATGCTCAACATCTCTAATTGGGAAAATGCAAATCAGAACCACAATGAGATATTGCTTAACTACAGTGAGAATGGCTTTTATCAAAAAGTCCCAAAACAATATATGTTGGTGTGAATGTGGAGGGCTAAGACACTCACACACTGCTGGTGGGACTGCAAACTAGTACAACCTCTATGGAAAGTAATATGGAGATACTTCAAAGAGCTACAAGTTAGAACTACCATTTGATCTAGTAATCCCATCACTGGGCATCTACCCAAAGGAACAAAAGACACTCTGTAGAAAAGACATCAGCACTAGAATGTTTATAGCAGCACAATTCTCAATTGTAAAGATGTGGAAATAACCCAAGTATCCATCAATACATAAGTGGATTAATAAAATGGTGTATATATATATATACCATGGAGTACTATTCAGCCACAAAAAACAATGGTGATCTAACACCTCTTGTACTATACTGGATAGAGCTGTAGCTCATTCTACTACTAAGTGACTATAACAAGAAGGGAAAAACAAGAATCACATGTACTCACCATCAAATTGGTATTAATTGATCAACACAAAAAACATTGCAATTTATAATAATTGCATTGTCAAAGGAAAAGATACATGCATCCAATGAACACATAAAAACAATATCCATAAATTGCCATTCAGAAAAATTACCTTTTAAGTTCCTGTTCCAGTTTTTCTATTTGCTTTTTGGTTGAATTCAGTTGTCCTTCCTGAAAATTCACCTGTGACTCCTTGACTTGAAGTTCATGAGAAATCTTCTGCTTAGTTTTCTCCAGATTTTCACATATTTCTATCAATCTTTGATTCTCCCTTTTCAGGTTTGTGCCCTCGCTTTTTTCATTTTCAACCTAATGGGAATTGTTGAGAAGAAAACAGATCCATTATTTCAGAAACTTACCAAGTATTATTTGTAGATCTGAGTCCGATACTAATTTTCTGAGATATGGTTATAATAAGCTAGAAATCAGTGCTTTATAGACACAGAAATTTTAGATGACCACATTTTGAAGCCTATAGATAGAATAGTTCCACAAAGTTATGCATGAGATCATCTTGGGCTACAAATACTAATCCTAGAAAGGGAGGCTTTAATATCCTTTCAAGAATTTAAAAACAAAAAAACAAAAATAAACCTTATAGATCTCCCTTAGCAATTCGTTTTCAAGTTTGGCTGGTAAAGCTAGTTACTGTAAGAAACTGGAAAATTCTCCCACAAGCAAAAACATTTTAGAAGTACTGATTATATCACTATGTGGTTGGCTGATACAGAGATAATGAAGAAGTACTATTTAAGTTTTCATTTACTAGTCCTGAAGAAGTTCAGGACTATAAAGGTAAAAAGTCCACTCCTGGAAAGCAATATCCATTTAACCACAAAATGCTCAATAATACGTCCCAATTTGGAGCCGGGACTTTTGGCCTTATTGGTGTGCAATGCAAAAGCAATTCCCAGTTCGTGGTCCCAAACAGAAGTTAAAATGGAACTCAGTAGCCCTAAATACTTGCAGGTAAGCAGAAATGAGGGCAGAGGATGGAGAAAATTAGAGGCAATTAAAATAAAAATGACTCAAAAGTGGAAGGAGGGGATTACCACTTGAAGACCGCAAAATCATTTTTCTCTAAATTTAAAGAAGATGATAGGATTAATTGAAAAATGAGCGAACTGTTTTCAATACCAGCATGTCATTGATGATAATGAGTGAACAGTTGCAAAGACTAGAGCTTCAGGGGTACCTTCTGCTTTTGCTTCTGCAATGCAGCCTCCAGAGTATCAAGCTGAAACTGCCTTTGCTGCTTTTCCTTCTTCAGTTTGTCCATCTGTCCCTCCAGCTCTTGAATTTTCTGAAGAGCTCTTGTAGGCAGGCCTTCTTTCCATTCTTCCAAAGCCCAGCTCATTTTGTTCTCCCTTCTTTATTATGCCAGCATTTATAAATAAACTGAAAAGAATAACCAGACTGTTTGGTCTTATTATAGTAAAAGGAATGTCTAAGAGACTGGCCAGTCTACCTAACCACCTCAAAGGACCAAGTTTCAAAACATCACATGTCAAAAGACAACCAAGTATAATATCTATATTCTCCACCCTCTGAAAAGCAACTACCAAATAATTGATTATGAAGTACATAATATGTTGTTTGCTCTCCCTTTGCTTACTGTTTTTCTTACTTCTCAGTTTTGACATCTAATACAGCTACCTGCTTTCTACTGCTCACGGTTTGTTTCCATTATACAAAACATGAATATTTTGCTGTAAGGTTTCCAGGTGAAAATAGGTTCTAGACACAAATCAAATGCATGACAAGTTTATTTTTCAAATGCTCCTCTTTCCCATCATTAATTACCACCCCATACTTTGCCCTTTTTTCCTCTGAAAGCCTTTTCTGAGACCCCTGACTGGCCACCTCATACTTTCCCTCTGTCACAATTCCCCTTCTCCACCAAAAAAACCTGAGTCCCCTCCCACTCTGGCACGACTGGGTGTGAGAATGATAACCCTGCCTCCTCCTCCTCTTCTTCCTCCTCCTCCAGACCAGGACCCCTGTCATTTATGTCTATGTCCTCATAACATAGCAGGGCCTGCCTGCCACACAGGCCCGTCCAGACAAACGTCTGGATGGGAGGGAAAAGCAGCTAGGGGGAGAGAGAAATGCCCTTGCAAACCAACAACAGGCACGCCGCCCCGCCGCCCACAGCAAAACCCAGGCTTGCATCTCCTCAGTGCAACGTAGGTAGGACCAGGGTCCGAATTTCAAAGAGGAGCCGCTAATCCCCGGACCTGGAGGGCTGCTCGGAGATACCTGGTCACCTCCAAATAAAATGAACCCCCAAAGTGCGAGTTGGTGACCGAGCGGGGTCTCCGAGCACCACTGCGGGCCCAGTTTTGCCCGGAGGCAAGGGGGCGCCGACACCACCCCTACGAACCTCACCCGGGGGCCGAGTCCCCAGTCGGGTCGGCGGGAGGGGACCGGAGCGTGACCCCCACAGGCCCACCCCCCGCCCAGCTTCCGCGGGCAGAAAGCCAGCGCCTACCCGCCTCCCCGCCGCCGGAGCCAGCCGGGACGCAGGCGGGACGCTCACCTCGCTCCCGTCGCTACCTGGGAGGGGAAGGCAACCTCTCGGGAAGTCCGGTTCCGGCGCGGCCTCCGCCGGGCTGGAGCCCAGATTCCGACTCAAACTGCCCGCGGCCGCCACCCGTATTCGATTCGCCCGCCTCCCGTCGCGACTAAACTCACCTCCACGCCTATTGGTCACCGTGGGCGGCTCTGGACCAATCCGCTTCCGCGTATTCGGGCTGCCGCTTTTGATTGGTCCTTTTGGATGGATTTTAAAAACAAGCCGGCCGCCGGAGGTGCCTGCGCCAGGGTGAGTGTGCTTTTTTTGTTGTCGCGGAGAGGCGGAGCCCACGTGCTTTTGCTGGCGCCAGACCCGATTTTGGACCGCTATTTCCCTAAGGGCCCGAGAACTGGCCCGCTGATTATGAGGGTGTGGTCTATGGCCCGCAGCCAGGGGGAGCGTGCTGCCTGCTGAAAACTCATGCACTGCGCATACAAATGGACGTCTTCACTAAATAGATAATTTAGGACGTAGATACTAAGCACTGTGCTTGTCATGCAGTCTTTATACAGTGTCATTCTTAACAACTGTTTGAGGAAAGTATTATCCTTATTTTATTTATTTAAAAGTTAACTGAGGCACATGGAAGCTAAGTGCAGTAATCAGAAATTGCATCTAGGCAATGCAAGACGTCGCTCTTAAGTGCTGTCCTCTATCAATTATATTGAGAAGGTGATTCTGAACACTCCTCAGCCGGGATTCGAGGGGCGTACATTGCATCAGACTCAAAAATTCAGAAGACTCTTCAAAACTAGGTGTAATCTCTCCTTTTTGTGAAGCCCACTAGTTCTGTATGTATTTTATATACTTGTTTTATGTTCCTGTTCAACTATAAATAAGCTGCTAAAGTCAGGAGCAAAACAACGGATTGTTAAAGTAATAGATCTCTAATGATGGGGTCCTCCTCAATAGGTACCAAACTTTCCAGACCCCTTTCTTCACCTTTCATTGCGCAGTTCCTGCAGCCTAGTCTGATCTGTACCTTTCACTGAAACTCTATTATACTCATTCCTCAATACTCAGTTCAAATGCTGCTTCTTCATAAAACCTCCCTATCCCTACGCACCCCTTAGACATAATTATTTCCTCTATCTTTCCTAGAACTCGGTTTATACTTCACTTTTAGGATTTTTGCCATGTCTTGTATTTATATGTCCATCTGGCTCCCCCCCACCCCCATCAGACTCAAAAATTCCTTTACAGTAAAATCTGTTTTCATTCAGCTTTGCATCCCTAGTAACTCTGCACATAATAATTGAAAAACCAGATTATCTTGGGAGGTGAAACTGCCATCTGGAGAAAGGCCTTGTTCTCTAATATGCTTGAATCCCCAATGGGAGGGGAAGGAGCAGGTGGGAAGAAGAACTTTTGCAGGACACTGCCCTAACCAGCCTAGGATCTGGCAGTTCTGACATCTGAACCAAATTCTGTCTGACTCCAATACCAGTTCGAATACGATGCTGGCCTTTAGCAGGTGGGGCTGATGTACTAGAACCATATTGAAGAGTATTGAGGCCAGGTGCGGTGGCTCACACCTGTAATCCTAGCACTCTGGGAGGCCGAGGCGGGTGGATTGCTTGAGGTCAGGAGTTCGAAACCAGCCTGAGCAAGAGCAAGACCCCCGTCTCTACTATAAAGAGAACGAAATTAATTGGCCAACTAATATATAGAGAAAAAATTAGCTGGGCATGGTAGCGCATGCCTGTAGTCCCAGCTACTTGAGAGGCTGAGGCAGGAGGATTGCTTGAGCCCAGGAGTCTGAGGTTGCTTTGAGCTAGGCTGACGCCATGGCACTCACTCTAGCCTGGACAACAAAGTGAGACTCTGTCTCAAAAAAAAAAAAAAAAAAAAATATATAAATATATATATATATATATATTATAGGGTAGGATTAGAAGTCTTAAGAAGGTGAGAAGATTAGAATGGACTTATTACCTAAGACACACCACCTGATTATTATTTCTAGAAGGGTCCAGAGGCTATTGCCTCCACTAACACCTAAATAATGTTTCTAGAAAGGGGACCACAAGTATCTTTAAGAAGGTCAGTGGTGGGTGACCTCTGAGGGCCAGGGTTGACAGCAAGAGATGCCGCCATGAACTGGGCTCTACAGCCAGCGTGAGAATTCAGAATGGCCTAGGCCAGGGCCAGAAATTAACCACTTTGTCAGTGGCAAGGTGAGAGTAATTGCCGCGATGGGCAGCACAGCTGGAGTAGAAACCAGAATGCAGGGATCTGTTGCTATGACTAATAGACTATTATTTCCTGGGTGAGAGATAGATGGCTAGTACCACTTGGGTTTTGCTTGATTTATATAACCGAGAAACCTCACACATTAGCCCACAGAAAGCTAAGAGCTACTACAGTGCAAAATTAAACAAGCATCCTGCACTTGGCTGTACCATCTGGCAGGTCTATCAATGGTAGAGTAACCATGGCAAATAAGGCCAACCCTCTGGCAAGCCTCAATGAGAGATTCATCACACAGAATCCCTAACATTCTGGAACGAGGCCATGTTTTCTCCATGAGAAAACGACTTAACATCGAAAAGCAGCTCCTATTGGGCTACTGGCCCTTAGTAGAGATTGAGCACCTGACCTTGGAACATCAGGCATAACCAGAACAGTCCATCACTATCTGAGTATTGTCTACCAAGGACAATACTGTCTACTAAGATCAGAGGTTCAAAGATCTACCAAGTCAGAGGTTCTGGTGGATGCAACAGTAAACCATTCTATCATGAGGTCCAAGCAGGTCCAAAAGGCACAAATAGATTATATAAATGGTGGCCATATGTCACCCATTCTGTTTCACCGGGCTCTCTCTCAATGCACATCTATGGCCTTATGGTGGCTCCCAAAACTAGCCCAGAGAAGCGAAAAACACCTGATTCTGGTTCCCAGATGGGTTGGCTTAACATGTTGGTATGTCCTGAAACAGACTGCCACTCCCCACAGCACACTATGGG